TAAACGGGGACTCAGGTAACCAACCCTAGACTGTTCAGCTGCTGGGTGGGAAGGCTAGGATTCTAACCATGTCACCCGTTGAGCTTCTGAGCCAGCATTTAAATGCCACACCACACTGCCCTTTCTATAAGCTCATCCCTGCAATTAAAAACTTTTTTCTGGACATTTCTCCCATGCCTGCTCTCTTCACCTTGTTTCTTCCCACCCCCCTCCTAGTGTTCTTGCCTCCCCCATCCCTCTCTTTTGTGCTTATGAGACAGAAAAGTTCAGGCTGGCCTTGAACTCACTATGTACCTAAGGATGACAAAGAACTTTGGGATCCTTTTGCCTCTATTCCCTTTGTGCTGTGTGTACCACCATGCCAGACATCATTCATATTCTTTCTCATCTCTTTTTGTTTTGTTCTGTGTCTTACCCCCGATATCATCTATGGCATGGGATGGCAGACAAACAGAAAAGTTGAGACAAAAGGGGAGCCTTGCGATTCTTTGGCATCCTCTGAATCCTCTATAGGAAGAGTCTTTTTGGTCCCCAAATGCAGTGGGGAGACTCACTACATTAGGAGATACAACCCAGAGCCTGCCTTAGCTGCCACCCCCCCACACCATCAAGCATCTTTCAGCTTTGAGAGACAAACTTGAATTTGTCCAAACCCTAGAAATTTCTGTCCCTCAACAGAGTCCTATTAAAGAGCAGACTCAGGCCAGAATCTGTAACTAACATCCAGGCAAGACCTCCTCTCTAGAATCTGTTTGTGTGCCAAAGACGGAAGGGATAGGAGAAAAACTACTCCCATCACAAAAGGCTACTGCTTGACAAAGGGATCCAAACCCTCAAGGGGTCTTGGATTCTCTGTCAAGCCAAGGCTCAGGAGGGATAACTGGGTACTTGCTTTTGCTGGGCTTGAAATGCACGGACTCAGAGAATCAGAGTCATGACAGCATCCGCTGGGAGCCGTAAGTAGGTGTGCAGCCTAATGAGAAGGGGAATGGGTGTTTTGAGGAAGCTCAGCAGCGCAGAGGTCTTCCACCAGCTCTCATGGACGAGTGGTGCCCAGAACAGAAACCACCTGGGAGAGTCCACATTGAATGCAAGCCTGTTTGGCACAGCCCTATTGGGAATGGGGTTTAAAGACTACTTCTTTCCCAAGTGTCTGGCCCCCTATTCTCTGAGCCTTCCCAGAGTAGGAACCAGACCTTCTCTACAGCTGTGAACAGCAACTGCCTTCTTTCTGGTCTGACTCAAACCCTGGAGTGTCAAGAAGGTAGAATCCAGGTACAAGGAGCTCCATTAAGAGGTGCCCCAAGCTCTAAGAAGCGGATGCAAGCGGCTAAAGAGCTACAAAGAAGCTTGACATGAAGCTTACTATTTGAACTCTGGGCACAGCTAGGAGTCAGTCCATCCTGGACATACAAGAGCTTAAGAGAATCTAAGTAGAGTAGCAGGGCCAAGAGTGCTATGCAGCTGGAGACAAACCATGGGAAGGATGGGCCAGCTCCTGCCGGGTGACAAAAAGGATGTCAAGAGCTCAAAAGGAATTTACTTTGGTGGCACCAACAGTCTGAGAAGATCTGGGACATCCTTTTGTCTCCCTGACCCAGGGACAAGAAACTGAGACCCTAAGTGGGAGAAAGCAATACAAATGCCTGCACCCGGGATCTCATGTGGAGATGAAGAGTGGCTATGGCTTCTGATTAAAGTAATTCTTTTCGTGTGTGTGTGTGTGTGTGTGTGTGTGTGTGTGTGTGTCTGTTATCTGGCTTTGTGTGTGTATGTGTGTGTGTGTGTGCATGCATGCGCATGAGCACACATGTGTTTCTTATGATTATTCTCTCATGATAAACCAGGCTTGACCAAATATTTTCCTGAACCTACCTATCTTCATATCAGCTCATGTATATTCATTCATTTTCAGGAAATTCGAGCTTTCAAGGTAAAAGATAGCTAAATATTGACTCACCACCACCATTCTCTCTGTGTCATTTTCTCTGAGGGCGATGAACAGTTGCAGCTAGGAAGGGTCTTTCCTGGGTCCGCCCTCACTTGGTATGCTAGGTAGGTGGTTCTGTGGATCACTCGGTGTCAGATTTAGTTAGCCTGGTCATAAATGGTCTCTGATGGCAGAATTGAGAAAAGCCATCATCCCTTCTTAAGATAAGCTCTCCCAGACAGGACTGTCATGTGGGTTTTGTCAGTACTTCCTGCATAAAAGGTCACAGTGATCAGATCCCGGAGATAAGAGCCAGGTGAGATTTCATGATAGGCAGCATCAACATTGGAATCAGGGTTCTTTTTGAGCATTTCTCTGTGGTTCAGCTTCAGATCAAGGACTGGAGATATGAACAAGTTCCACCATGAGTGCAGTCCAGGAACTCTGTGATGATATTTCTGACATCAAGGAAGACAGGGAGGGAAGATGGAGCCCCCCTACATATGTGGGGCTGGCTATGGAAGGGTTTTGTGTGTAGTGTAAAGTCAGTCCATAGTTCAAGGACTATATGCCCCAGGCTAGACCTGATATAGCCTCCAATGCTTCTGCTCAGCTCCCTCTGTCACTGACTCTCAATTATCAGTGGACTGTAGTCCCCAAGGAGAATAGCCTAGGACAATTTGTACCCTGCACTCAGTGGCTAGAGTAGGGGAGGCTAGACTTTTCCTGAATCACCCCTAGAGTCCATAAATCTCCTACAAATACACAGTACCTAGGCTTCAGTCGCCAATGAAGCCTTTCTTCAGTTGTCCCATGAGCAATGCCCTGCCCCTCCTACTGGCTTTACATGGTCAAAGCCAGGCCAACATAGTTTGCCTTCAGAGCATCTGTGGACCGACTGGGGGCTTCCTGGTGAGGTGAATCCTACTCAGGCCCTCACAACAGCCAGCATGGTGATGCCAGCTCATGTCAGTCAACACAGCACTTCACAGTGTAGATCTGGGTCTACTTGGCCCACCCAGGAATCGGATCATTCTTACTTCCTGGGCAGGGTAGTAAAAGAGCAATAAATTGGCTCCATGACTCTGGGCTTGGAAAGTTCCAGGACATATGGAGCTGGGGAAACCCCTGATAAGGTCTGAGGGTGGAGAGAGTAGGTTTGGGGTCTTCTCAGAAGGCCAGTTCCTCTACTGGGGGCTCTCAAACACAGCCTGTTTGATTTTGAGTCTATCTTATTGTGAGTGAATTAATTGTTGTGCAACCTAGAGTGGTGAGACAAGTTAATTACATAATTACTGCAGAATGACATGCTATTTCATGGCTGCAATATGGTAACTCTGTTGGAAACAATTGTAATTGCCCAGAAACTGCGTTTGAGTGGCTCCGTTATCTTTCCATAACCATGTAATTAACTTGTGTTACAACTTTATCTGCAGCAAACTCTGAAGTTAGGAGTCAGGCCTTTGGGGCAGGCATCCTAGGTCTTGAGAGCCCACAGAGCATCTGGCATTGATGACTGTGCTAGCATCCAGGAAAGAAATCTGCTTTTTCATGTTGAGGGAGACAACAGCTCACTGTGGACTGTAATTCTCCCATCTCCATATGTACTCAATCCCCTTCCCAGTCCACTGTCAATCACACTGTTGGTACCCCAACCTAGTGCATCACACACACACGAACACCCCTGCAGCCAGCCCCACTGGCTATTCTCTCTCTACTCTCACACACACACGGGATACCTCCTTCACAGAGAATTCCTACACCATGATCCTTGGTCCTACCTTTTCCTTCCTCTGGCCACAAAACCAGGACTTACAGCAGTCTCTTCCAGGCACGTGAGAGCCTTGTCTCTATACTTCGGAATGGAGGAGTGGGCCTGGTGGATAGATATGGGAGGGGCAGCCACAGCTGGAGGCCATAGCCAGGCTCCTTTAGCACTGGGCTGTGACCAGGTGGAAAACAGGCCCTGAGGAAGAGAAGCAAAGGGTCTGGGTGGACAGCCTGTCCACACAGCCTTCCCTGGCCAGGATTCTCACTGATGCCAATTATCCACTCTGCTCTCTTCCAGGCGCTATGCCCAGCACTGTGGCATTATTCTTGCTACTCGGGGTGAGCCTAGCTCAGCCAGGCAGACAGAAACGCCTGTCTGACTGTCTGCCACAGGTCCGGCTATCTTCTGGCTTAGGCTGACTGCCTGCTGGCTCACCTGCCTGTCTCTTCTGCCTGTCCACACATGTGTGTGTTTGAGAGTGTGTCCACTGCCTCCTCTGTTCCTGACCCTGGAGAGTCATCAGGGCCCACATCTGCTGTGGGGAATGGGCCGATTCCAGCTTTCCTCAGAAGCATTCTGCCTCCCCTGGTGTGCTCTCTGTCAGTTTTCCTGGTTCTCTTCTCCCTCCCCTACTAAGGCTTCAGACTTCCAGGTCCCTGGCAGATTTCTCAAGAGCAGAGACTATGCCTCATCAATGACTCAACCCCATGCCTGATTCCCTCGGGGTTAGCTCCAATAGAGGCATAAGGCTAAGATGTGGAGTAGATTAAGGTTTGCTGAGTGACTGACTGACTGTCTCCAGCCTGCATAGACAAGCTCAAGGGAAACAGAATGTTTTGATTGATAAACAAGACACTAGGATCCAGGTCAGACCCAACAAACACTATCTGTCACTGTGAAGGGAAGGGGGGTTTTAGGAGGGTACTGTCATGCTGTGAGGCTTGGGATTTGGGACTCTACTGTGGAGCAGGGCAGAACTGAGTCCCCATCTGGCCACTTTGCTAGGAGTTCCAGTGACAGAGGGGCGGGCTGAAAGTACACAAAGCATCACAGTGCCCTCTTCTTAGGGTTTTGCATAGGGCCAGGATGTATGCTTTGCAGGAAGGGAGGAATACCCCACTTCTCATGTGTGGCTGGGGCACTCTGAGCTATTCCCTTCTTCCGATCTCTAAAGCCATGCTTGTTTGCCCCTGCTTGGCAAGAGCATGCGCTGGAGGCTGCTTCTCCACGCCCTACCCACCAGAGGCAGAAGGTGAGGAGGTGCAGTTCTGTGTCAGCAATGTGAACAATGCAGTCATGTCCCCGGAAACATTCATAAGTTTAATCCACGCCAGTAATAAAATCGCATTACATTTCTCATAAAATAAATGTTCCCATTTATATACAGAAGACAGACTGTACAGGCCGAGCCTGGCCCCAGGAGGGTCCCAAAGAAATGAGTGGAGGTGGTGGAGAAAAACCACCTTCCCACTGAGGATGAAGTTCTAACTTGTAGGACAGTGGCTGGCCAGCCCGCGCAGGCAGAGTGGCTGGCGGCTTGCCAGGCAGGTGGTCAGGTGGGCAGACGGACAGATGGACCTGGAGGCCAGACGTTGGGCGTTACTGAACCTGGGATTCAAAGGTGCCATTGAGATGCCCCTCCTCATAGTCCATCTGGCACAAGATCATGTTGTTCTTCAGGAAGAATTTGTCTCCCACGCAAAATCTAGAAAAAATCAAGAGAAAAAGGGGCTATAGGTGAGGTCTCAGTGAGAGGAGGTTCCAGCCTGGCCCGGGAGGTGGGGCACGCATGCCAGATGGTGATACTGAGTAGTTGGCTCCTGGAACCTTCCAGAGGGTATGCAGGAAATGCCACCGCAAGCCTGGTCAATTACTCTCGGCAGACCCCTGCAGCCTGGGGTGGTGAGATAGACTGTCAAGCCACGGGCCTCCTCCTAGGTCATTCGAGGAGATGCAGGGGGAATGCAGATGCCCTCTCCCAGTCCCAGAGAGGATTCAGGAGAAGGTAGGAACCAGCAGTAGACAGAGTCCAAGGATGGAGACGAGAGATGAGGGGAGGTAGGGAGAAGGAGAACATGGCTGCTTCCATCCCTCTGCCCTCCTGGCTTAAGGCTCACATCCTAAGTGATCCCAGTCCACAATTTATTCTCTAGCCCAGGAAGATCACATTTGGGATCTCTAAGTCCTCTGGAAGTACTGAGGAATTTTCAACCTTCCCCTCAAAGATGTCCCCTGGTGGCGGAGACTTTAAGCCCTTAGGTCACTGACTCAGTCCCAGTAGTGGATCTCAATCTAACCACCAGGTGGCGATGGAACTTCACAGAGCCCTGCTGGTAGGCAGTCTACCCAGAGTACGCGGCCAGCCTAGAGTTCCCTGCAGATCCCTCTGGACCTCAACCTGGAAACATTTGTATGAATTCCTATCTGACCTAAGGGCTCCTGAGGAGATTTCCTGCTTTTTGGTGGTAGATTCCAAGCCAGGGGTAAATGTTTTAAATCCTTCAAGTCTTCCCCCAGGATTGGGATAAGGAATAGGGCCCAGAAACTCACAAGAGAGAGAGGGCTAGAACCAGATTCATGAGTAAAGTCAGGGAGGAAGTGATATTCACTGAAGAGATCTCTTATTCTGTGGGCCTAGGAACCCCTTCTCAAAAGACAGGACACAAAAACACATGCCCACAGATACAGTGTACTCAGTTCACACAGTTAAAATGTGCCTAAAATTCTCACCTCACCATGTACACACAGTATGCACAAGCTCTTATGCATGAACAATTACAGTTACACTAAACTAAACACTGATCTCATGTACTAGTGCTCATGTGCACACAAACATTTAAAATATAAACACAAGCACATACATACTGGACACGTGGCATACTCCTACAATCCCAGTAACCATGACTACCTAGCAAGTTGAAGGGTGGCCTGGGATACATGAGACCCTGCTATAAACAACTCCTCCCTCAAATGCACAAATACCTATATCCTATATACATACATAGTGTGAAAATACACACATACCCCATCATTAAATCCATGTAGAAACTTACCACTATATAGTGCACCAGTACTGGAGTGTACACATCTGACCATAAGATGTAGATACACAAATATCCACGTGTATGATGAGGACAGCATACACACTCAGCTATGTACATAAAGGAAGTCACACTTGTATGCATGCCTCTTCAGTGCTCCTGGCTCAACCAGCAGGCCTCAGGGGCGAGGGTCTGGGTAGTGTGTTGAGCTGGCTGAGGGTCCGGCACTCACCTCTGATTGCAGAGCTGGCAGGCGAAGCAGTCAAGGTGATACACATTGTCTCGGGCCCGCATCACCATCTCGAAAGCTGGGATCAGCTTGCTGCAGGCAGCACAGTTTCCTGTGGTGCCAAAAAGCCTGCCAGGTAAAGGGCACAGAGGATGTAAGGGCCTGCCAAGGAGCTGCCTTCACCCAGAGGCTAGCCCATTCCCTAGCTCGTGGGATAGCGAGTGGGCCTAGTCCAGAACTAACTACCATATCTAGATCCTGCCAGATTAAGCTTTAAAACTCTGGCATCTCACTCCCCAGGGAGGCTATGTAACTGACAGTCAGGCGTACACATCATCACCCTATGTCCATTTCAGGTTTCCACCAGAGTCCCTAGAGCACCAGGATGGCCCCTTAGCAAAGGCTCCAGACCCACGAAAGCCTAAATTTCAGAGGCAGTCTGGCCTCCTTGGACTGTGTATGTATCCTCATGCAGTCACTTGGAGCCTCCCAGAGCCCCAGTTATCACAATGTCAAAGATCAAAATGTATCCCTCACTGGACAATGTACTCAGCAATGCCTAACCTTAACCCTAACTGAACCTGTGGCTCAGGGACACGCTAAGAGCTTACAAAAATCACCTCATCTGATCCCAAGGCAGCCCTGTGAGGTCAACACTTATATCATCCCCATTCAAGAAAAGAATGAGTCACAGAGCGATAAACAACTCACCAGGGGCATATGCCTGGCTCCTCTGGGAGACTGATCTATGCCACCGATGAGGCTTCTTGCTTTTAAAATTACAGTGCTTTCTGGGGCTGCAGCTCAGTTGGCAGAGTGCTTGCCTAGCATGCAAGAAGCTCTGGGTATGTATACCCATGTGGTTGTCCACATCTATAACCCTAGCACTCAAGACGTAGAGGCAGGAGGAATAGGAATTGAACGTAATCTGTGTCTACATGGGGAGTTCAAGGCCAGCCTCGCTGACATGTCTCAAAAATAGATAAAATTACAGTGTTTTATGAAATTGTGTTCTGCCATAATCTCACTGTGTCACCTGCCTATGTCTCCTTTCCCTTCTTGGAGTCTCAGCTTATCGTTTTGTAAAACGAAGCTGCCAGGACAACACAGCCTAAAGATGCTTCTCACCCAGAACTGATCCCCAAAACAAGTTCCAAGGGGACCTGACACAATGGTCTCTTTGAGAGGGCATCCCTCCTCTCAGCTGCTGGCTACAAAGCTCCAGGGACAGGACAGGAAGTTCACTCCCTCCCCATTCATGGCAGTTCTTGGCTGGGTGCTCTAATGGTCTGAGCCGACCAAGCTCCTCCTTGCTTCCTTTCTGCTGAGCAAGCTCCAAAAGATGCAAGCAGGCTGAGAGGCGGGTGGTGGGGGCCTCTAATCCCCGATTTGTCCGATTTGTCTGATGCAGGCTCAGACACCTGCAGACCAGCTTGGCTCCATTATTCATTGGCCTGAGCTGCCTGGTGACTCAGATAAAGGCAGACAAAGGCTGGGTCACAGCATCTGCCTGCCAATGGGGGCCTTTTCTGCCACCAGCAGTTGTTGTAAAGGCCCAGGCACTGGGCAGCCACCCCTCCCTAACCTACTGGACTACCTGGCTCTGGAAGTCATTTGCTACCTCTACCAGAGCATAGGGGAAAAAGCTTCCAGGCCCTATGGCTGGCAGGGCCCAGAAGTGGGTGCTTGGGAGTTCCCCACAAGCCCACACTGCACCACGGTGGGTGCTGTGGGAGAAGTCCCAGCCCTGATGGCAGGCCAAGATGTTCCAAACCTCCAGGCATAAGAGAGCCTCTTTCCACGTCTTCAAGGGTTGACTTCCCAAGAGCATCCTTAACCCTTCCTCCCAGCCTCAGTTTCTCTCTCCATCCTGGAAGCACTAAATACCATCACTTAAAAAAAAAAAAATCTGTTGCTAAAGCTAAAGGCAACAATTGAAAGGAAAGGTCCAGACAGGTAAATCTCAGGGTCTCTGGGGAACTGGGGAGTTTCCAGATAACCCTGCCCCCTCCAACTTGTCCTGACTTGAGCAGAAGTCCCCACCAGCTCTCACCCCCATCCTGATAATTAATGCAATCGGCCTTTCTTCCCCACAAGGCTGCCCAGCCACCATCCAGCAGCTAGTGACAGAGCCAAATGCAGGTGCTGGGTCTCAGCCAAGGCCCCTGCTTCATGGCCTCCTTCCAGCCTTGCTGATGTCATAAATGGCCTAAGAGAGGGTTAATTGGGGAAGGCAGCCCCAGGGGATGAGATCCAGGTTGTGGGGGAGAGGCAGAGCTCTGAAGAATGCAAGGTGGGCTACAGGAGGATTAAATGGAGAAAGGTTCAAAACTAAAGACTCAGGGCTGGTTCAAACCCAGATCTTTAAAAAAGCATTGGCAGTCCTTGTCCTAGGGTATGGCTCCCTGCCAATTGAGGCAAATGAGAACCTAATCCCAGCACACCTGGAGAGGAGGACTCCAGGGAGAGGTGGGCAGGAGACTCTATTGGAAGGCCCAGGCAAGTCTAGACTACCTCATCTGCTCCTCCAGGCCCCTTTGAGATGTCCCCTCCTGGATAGCCATAGGAGATGGGTGAGGCTGAAGCCAGGCTGGTACCCATGGGAAGATTATCTTTGTGTCCAATACTTTACTAGTGCCTGAGTAGACATCGTGGGGCCAAGTCCAAAAAGATGAAGACATAACCCTGCTCTCAGGTAGCTCACAGGGCTGACATAAGGCAGTGAAGAAGTCACACAGTTGTGCACACAGGCTGCCTGGTTTAGAGCTTGGGGCCAAGTTGCACCAGGCTAGAAGGATGGGAGCTGTTCGAGTAGTGCAGAGCGGCAGAACCCACCTCAGGTAGTCACGCCGGCACAGGATGAGATTGGCCTTGGTGTAGAGAGTGGAGCCCACCTCGCCCAGGCGACAGTCACAGCAGGCACACTTGAGGCAGTCCTCATGCCAGTACTTGTCCAGTGCCTTCAGCAGGTATCGGTCCTTGATCTTGCGGTTGCAGCCTGCACAGCCCTTCTGCTTCCCCTTAGGTTGGACGGAGAGCATCGGCACACCTGGGATGGGAAAATAAGACAGATGAGCCTGGGACTGCCCTGGAGCTCTGGGGCACCACCCACTTCCAGGGAAGGGGGACAGTATGTCTTTCTCTTTACTGTTACCTCTAAGTAAAGGCTCCCAGAGACCTCACTTTCTATTTCTTCCCCAGGCCCTAAGCCTGACCCATTAGACAACATGCCTTAGTCCTGTCAAGACCTCTCCAGAAGCTGATGGCCTTGCTGGGCTCTTCTTCTCCTTCCTAGTCACTGTGCCCTGTGTGACCTGATCTGTGCAGACCCATGTCCTAACACAGCTACATCTGGCCACCATAGGTCTAAGAACGAGGTTCACTGAGATTCCCAGATCGTTCTCATCCTCTTCACTCTCTCTTGAAGTAAGCAGTCGCTGTGCATTGGACCACCTACTATGTGAAGAATGGTGGTACTGGGAAGAGAGTGGGAGGCACGGGGTGGCATCTGGGAAGGCATGAGAGAACTCCCCTCAGGAACGCTTTGGTCAAAGGCAAACTTCCATGTGGCCTAGTCTGAGTGAAAGAGGGAGGTTCTGAGGTCTGGTCCATCTCCCAGTTTAGGAATCTCCCCGCACCAGCTCCCTTCTAGCCTCTGCAAGCTTCTCAACACAGAGGAAGCAATAAGTACCAGGCAAGACTCAGTATACAGTTATTGAAGGCAGAGCCTACTGGTAGGTAAGTGCGTGCACTTGCAAACATCCTTGTACACAGCATGATGTGTAAGTGTGGGCATGGGTGAGCACTCAGTTACACATGCCTGGCCCCTTCCCCTGAAATCACTGGGAGGGGCAGCTGAGGAGAAAACGGGAGGCACATAGTGTCCAGGGGCAAGGAATGTTGGGCGGGCGGCAGAGAAACTAAGTCTGTGGTTGTACTCAGAGGGCTGCAGGAGAACAAGCCTCTTAAGAAAACACGGGGTGGGTTAGAGGCAGTCTTTACCTACAACCATGGCACAGCCAGCAAAGTCCACCCTTCCTAGATAGCCAGCTTCCAACAGGCCTCAAGTCTCTGCTTCCATTGGCCTTATCCTGACCCAAAGACCTGTCTATGTTCTTTCCAGGCATAGCATTCAGTTCCAGCCCTGAGTATCTTTCCCATCCCCAGCTCTGACTCTGCGCCTATCCGCAGGCCCAGCTGCTGACCCAGATTCTTCCTTTTCCCTTCCCTCTTCAAGAAGGAATATGTCCTCTGGCTTCAGGGGAGACCCCACCACCTAGAGACCTTAGATTCATAGATATCATGTCAGAAAAACTGTTACATTTTCCAGGCAAATGCTCCACTCCTACAGATGCAGAAACTGAAGTTCAGGTAGTTAGAGGAATGGCTAAACCACTAAAACCACTGATGGGGATGGCTTGAGGATTTGTTCCTGTGCTTTCTCAACCCAGCCACCCCCTCTGACCTCTGCTAGAGAGGAGGACAGCCCCTAGGACAGGAAGTCCTCTCTGCGAGAAGAGAGCTCGGACCTACGACAGCACAAGACCAAAGGGACTGGTGAGGGCACGGAGGTAGAGGCCCCATAGGTGCCCCTGGCAGGCAGAGGTCAGCTCCCTTTCCCTCCCTCCTTCCATCACCATAGGACCATCTGTTAGCTGGGAAATTCACTGCCTAATTTCCTTAATGCAGCTCTAAAGGTTAATTGGTCTGAATGAAAGAGAGTATTCAGGATGATGGCTGTCCCAGGGTCAGCCTGTGTCTCCTCTAACAGAGCCCAGATCTGCCCACGAAGCCAACCTCAGGAGAAGTTCCTTCTAAGGCCTGGCCTATGGGGAGAGATTAAAATATAGGAAAATAAAGGGAGGCCCGGGCTCCAAAGATGGGAAGACTGTCCCTTGGGGCCTGTGGAGGGGACCCCGTCCAGGAGTATTCATATAAACACTAACTCAGACCTAGAGCCTTAGAGCCTCAGAGACTGCAGAGTCCTTCTCATTCACCTGGTATGCAGAGAGAGGGCTTGGTCCCTCTAGGGCTCTGTACTTGGGCTCTCAACTCCTGTCTCCCCAGCCCCCTCTAGCCTACCAGCCAGCCAGCCCCCTGCAGACCTCCCTGCCCCTCCTCTACTGGCTCTGGGAGCAGAGCCTGGGGCCATGCACTTTCCATTAGGGAGATAGCAGCCCTCTGCTGAAGTCCATTTGGGATCCATTTTAGCGTTATCTAAAAATCAAATCTACATGGTAATCCTTTTAACGTACTCCCGACTTCAGGGGGAAAAAACAGCTTTGCACTCCTTCAGGAAAGGTTTTAAAGCATTACCCAATAATTACTACACACGAATGAAAACACCCATCTTTAACAATGGAGACCGCTTGTGCCCACACACATGCCCAGGCACATGCTCAGGTACATATACTAGGCCTGGCAAAATAATCAGTTCACTCAGCCCATGTGCCACCCTCAATCCCAGTGAATACAGGGAATGATATTTGAAGTGAGACAGGCTGAACTCCCGTCTCTCTGTCTGTTGCATGAAGGTAGGTAGCAGGTCTGATGATGAAGTGGTCAGGGTATGGGAGAAGTCTTTCAGGTGAAGTCTCCGGGTCCAGTATCAGCATCCAGTTACCTAAGGGGTTCGTGCAAGGTTCCAGGGCAGTACAAACTCTGATTCCTGGGCTCTGCCGAACTCTGACATTTACACTCAGCTCTGCAATGTGGGGCAAAGCCAGACACCTCAGTAAGGAGGTGAGACTCACGGAGGACATCGGTTCTTCCCCTTACCTCTCCCCTCACCCTGGAGAGAGGCTCTCTACACAAAAAGCTGCCTGCCAACCAGACCCACAACCTCAGACAACTCCTACCTATGTGGCCCAAGCTAGGCTGCTACTTTCCAGTGGGATATGGGAGCCAAAGTGTGTGGGCTCCACTATGCACAGGCCTGAGTCACAGGCGAGCACCCTACCCACCCCAGCTACCCTCTGCAAGGTCAGATTTCCATCCTACTGTGTCTACTTCACCCTGCTGCAGGCAGGTCACTGCAGGCCACACCACAGGAATGCCCCCTACTGGGCTGCACTATTGCCAGTGATGGAGGCTGCACCTGGGGATAGCCAGACTGTACCAGCTCCTGACAGAACCCTAGTATCTTTCTCCTTCTAGCCCACCAGAGGACCTTCTTTAATTCCACCCCAAGGGTGGTACTCACCACTGCTCTGGGAGAAATACCATTGTCCAGGCTATGCTTTAGGGGACAACAGTGGGCTCTAGGCTGGGGGCTAGGAGTGCATACCTTGGGGATTCAGGCCCCTCCTTTCAGACCTGCACCTGTGATACAGGGCCATGAGGTCTCATTCAAAGACTGTGGTGGGTCAAGATGAAGCTGCGAACCTAAGGCCATAGCCCAGAAGCTAGAATGGAGTAAAGGACAGCATCCACTCCATTAGGGTGCTGTTCCTTTGGGTACTCACTTCTTTTAAACTTTTCATCGTTTTGAGCTTATCATTTCTTTAAAATTAATCTCAATCTTGTTCTGTGTGTGTTGGTATGTGGCTATGTACATGTGAGTACTGGTGCCTATGGAGGTCAGAAGCATTGAATCCTCTGGAGCTCGAGTTAGAAGCAGTTGTGAGCCATCAGACATGGGTGCTAGCATGTGATCTGAGGTCCTCTGTAAGAGCATGTATGCTCATAACCACTGAGCCATTTACATACATGTCTATGTATGGGTATGTACGCAGAAGTGCAGTACCTGTGGAAGTCAGAAGGGGCCACTGGGTCCCCTGGAGCTAGCGTTAGAAGTTGCTATGAGCTACCCAACACAGGTACTGGGAACCAAGCTCAGGTCTTCGGCAAAAACAGTACCCATTCATAACCATTGAGCCATCACTCCAGGACCTTGTTTGCTTTTCATGTAGCCCATGCTGACCCACAAACTCATTATGTAGTTGATTTGAGGACAATCTTGTTCCTCCTGCCTTTGCCTCCCAAGTGCTTGGATGACAGGCTTGTGCTACCATGCCCTGCTTTCTTTTTGACTTGAAAATTTTTCTTTTCAGCTCCCAGAAAAATTGCAATAATAGGAGTAATTCCCAAGTGCCCATTTCCTGTATCTTCTTCCTTTTATTTATACTTATAACTTTTCCCCCATAAATCATCTAAGAGTTGATTTCAGACATTAAGTCTCTAAACCCTAGATGATCTTGGTGTATAAAATACCAATTGCTAAAAACAAGGGTAAAACCAGCGACAGACCTAGGAAATGATCACTGAAATCCTGTTTCCCAATCTACACAGCCTATTCAGATCTCACCAGCACTCCCAACAACACCTTTTACAACAATGCCGCCAGGCAGCAGCTGTGCACACCTTTAATCCCAACAGTCAGGAGGCAGGGGCAAGTGAATCTCTGAATTTGAGGCCAACTTCGTCTACAGAGCAAGTTCCAGGACGACATAAATAAACTCTGTCTCAAAAACAAACAAAACAAAACAAATGGACAATGTCCTGGGTCACTTGTTACATTTCCTCCTGTACTGACTAGTTTTCTGTCAACTTGACACAAGCTACAGTCACGGGAGAGGTAGGAACCTGAGAACCGGAGAAAAATTTGGTTGTAGGCAAGCCTGTAGGGCATTTTCTTAGTGATCAATGTGGGAGGGCCCAGCCCATTGTGGGTGGGGCCATCCCTGGGCTAGTGGTCCTGGGTTCTATAAGAAAACAGGCTGAATAAGTCATGGAGAGCAAGCTAGTAAGCAGCACCCCTCTGTGACCTCTGCATCAGCTCCTGCCTCCAAGTTCTTGCCTTGACTTCCTGTCCTGACTTCTTTAGAGGATTAAATGCTGACATGGAAGTATAAGCCAAACAAACCCTTTCCTTTCCAGCTGCCTTGGTCGTTTTGTTTCATTACATCACTAGCAACCCTAGCTAAAACATTCACCCACTTGAATCTAGAGGAATTCCCAGGAGTCTGAAGGTATCAGCACTTCTGAGGCAGAAAGGGCATCTATTCCTGGAGTATCCCTGATCTGGCTTTATCTGATACCAGTTCCTAC